GCGCGCTCCCGTAGCAGCCGCCCACCACCAGGGTTATTTTGGGAACGGAGGCACAAGCAACAGCAGCCATCATGGAGGCTTGGGCTTTTAGTTGGTTGGATTGAGCCTCTGCCTGAAAGGGAAAGAAAAATAACAGATCCTTCAAGTTTTTCTTCTAGAAACTTGTCTTGCTAAGACGTTTATTCCTTCACAATCCCACAGGTTTCTGCCGCAGCGCTGCCAGGGCATCGGGAACCACCACGGCCCCTCCTATGCTTGGCTGACAGAATAAAGCAGCAGAACAAGAGGAAGATCTCCTTCTGGGCAGCAATATTGAACAATCAACATGCTGTATTTCAACCCAAAAAGCACCATAAATTCCAAACTTTACACCTTGCACTGCCAGCCAGATATTATCATTATATATAAGCGTAGAGACCTGCTTAAAATCAGAATAAAGGGAGACTGTTCATGGGAAGGCTGAAGAAAAAAAAAGAATGATGATGCTTATGGGTTTAAACCATCCCAAAATAATCATTTTCCTAACCCCACTTTTCAGAGTGTGATCCTGCACACGAGAAGAACAAGGCATTGCCTGAATAAAACACATTGAAGTCAATCTGCAGTACCTGTGGGGTGCTCGTGGGCCGGGCTGCGTGGGGAGCAGTGTTCTGGAGGAAGAGGATGGGAATGCTCCTCTGGTCACAGAGCTGCACGAAATGGCTGCCCTTGAGAGAGGCATCCTGAGACAGCTCCCCGTCGTTAGCCACCACCCCCACCAAGTGCCTGCAAAACACACACAAACATTTCCTTTCTGGAGCCCCAAAAGGGATGAAACGGTAGCTCAGAGTTCTGAAGGACAGAAAGAGAAATATTGGTTTGCATGATATTAGGATCCTCATGTACCCAAAAAAAACACAGATGCTGCAGCACTCCTGGTGTGTAACATGTGGAATTATGAATGTTAGGATCCTCATGTACCCAAAAAAAAACACAGATGCTGCAGTACTCCTGGTGTGGAAATATGAATGTGGATTAATATCCAGAGGTGGGTCAGGCTCTTCTCTCAAGGAACAAGCAACAGGACAAGAGGAAACAGCCTCAAGTTGCCCCAGGGGAGGTTGAGGTTGTCCCTGAGGAACAATTTCTTGCCCTGGAGGGTTGCCCAGGGCTGTGCCAGGCTGCCCAGGGCAGTGGTGGAGTCCCCACCCCTGGAGGGGTTTCTAAGCCGTGGAGATGTGGGGTGAGGGACACGGGGCAGTGGGGACCTGGCAGTGCTGGGGGGTGGTTGGACTCAATGATCTTCAAGTCCTCTTTCAACCAGAACAATTCTAAGGTGCCAGGTGTCTGGGCTCTCTCCAATTCCTCTAACATACAACACAACAGTCAATCTGAAAAGTTTATATTTACAACCTAAAGAGGCTCCAAAATGAAATTTCACTACCTCTTGAACAATTATTTCCAGTACCCTTTGACTGGAACGATGTGCACGGGGTAACAGCCCCACCTGAAGAGAACCACCCAGGGTTTTACCACGTGTGTCTCACCCCACCTCCATCACACAGGAGAGGGGATGACAAGGTTCAGACCCCCTTGGGAAGGAACACTTGGAAAGATGCTGCTTTTTATTTCTTATGGCATCTGCTGAGGCCTTCAACGTTCCACCTGTGTGGCGAGTAGTTTTTGTGAACAAACAAATCATTTCACCAAGTCATGAAAACCATTTGCCTGTCACCACTCTCAGCCTGAGACGTGGGGAGTTCAGAGCTCAGAGAGAGATCAGGATTTCCAGAGGTGTTTTCTTACCAATTCTTTCAGACCTTTAGAAACATTATTCTTTGAACACTCCAAGACCTGACGACGACGTGGAAGCCATTTAAGACCAAGACAGCCCCAGGTTTTGACAGTGAAATGTTCCAGCCTTACCCTTCCACGTGGCCAAATCCTGTGACTAATGTTGTTCCATAATTAGCCTTGAACTCCTGGAATCTGCTTCCATCCATCAGGCGGCTCAGAATCTGCAAAGAAATATTGAGGCTTTGTGACACAACTTGAAGGAAAAACACTTCTGCTAAGAGACACGCTCTGGGCCAACAGGAGTGAGACAGGAGTGAGACCTGCCTATCCCAAGAAAGAGCCCAGAAGGTGCTTTTATGTCTCACAAAACATCACATTTGTGTCTACGTTCTTTTTTGAGCCCCAGTTTAACTCCAAAGTTGTTCTGGTGTTACACAGAACAGTTGTCCACGTGCACAGAGATGTTTTAAAACCCCCAGCCCGTGCAGTTACAGTCTTGGGTGGATAAAAACCACTCAGCAGCACGTTGCTCCTGCTTCTTTCAAACACAGTTTCAGAGCTGCCTTCAAAATCACAGTGTTTTTTTTTACAGCCAAGCCCCTTAACTGGAGGAATTTACCCCTGAGAAAGAGACTGGATTCACATGCTTGGAGACCAAACTTCTAGAAGAACCCAAGGAAAACAGCGTGGGCAGCTCTGCCTGTCTCTGTTCATGCATCAGCATCTGGCCCAGCCTCAAACAAGATGCATTTGAGCCTTGTTGGTTTTCACTCAGTATTTTCATCAGGCATTTCAGTTACAAGACAGAGTCTTGATTTTGTTTTGGGGGGGGAAAAAGACCAAAGGTAGGGGGAAGGGGAATGAGGACACTAAAGGGATGTAGGTTCCCAAGGACATGACAAGATCTCACACAGTGCCCAGAAACTGTCCCCATACCAGTTTGACAGGGAGGGAACACCTGGAATCCTGTGGTGCCAGCCCCAAGAGCTCCTCAGAGCTATACAGAGGACTCTCATGCTCCACAACCTCTTCTGGCAGTGGATCATAATTCAAGGTGGAGATAACATTTCGGACACATTCATAGGCTTCCTTTTCTGAAGATGCAAAATGGTCACTGCAGCCACTGACTCTAAGAGAGAGAGCCACAATCATTAGGATGGAAATAGTGAAATCTGAATTCTGACAGAAAAACTAAGGGAAAAAACTTTAAGCCCTGCTGTGAGTCTCCAAACGCCCTGGGTGGTTTTGTTCTCACACGAATGAGTTGAAAGCAATAAGTCAGTGGGATTCCTGTGCAATCCAACCCCCAGGAAAGTTGTTAGGAAGGCCACTGACTCTAAGAGAGAGAGAGAGCCACAATCATTAGGATGGAAATAGTGAAATCTGAATTCTGACAGAAAAACTAAGGGAAAAAACTTTAAGCTCTGCTGTGAGTCTCCAAATGCCCTGGGTGGTTTTGTTCTCATATGAATGAGTTGAAAGCAGTCAGTCAGTGGAATTCCTGTGCAATCCAACCCCCAGGAAAGTTGTTAGGAAGTTCTTCCCTGTGACTTTTGTGTTTACCTTGATTAAAAAAAGACACAGGAATATATTTGCATGATGATGTTGATAGCGTGGCCAGCAGGACCAGGACAGGGATTGTCCCCCTGGACTCAGCACTGGGGAGGCTGCCCCTCGAATCCTGGGGTCAGTTTTGGGCCCCTCACACCCAGAAGGACCTTGAGGGGCTGGAGCGTGGCCAGAGAAGGACAACGGAGCTGCTGGGGAAGGGTCTAGAGCCCAAGTGTGGGGAGGAGCAGCTGAGGGAGCTGGGGGTGCTGAGCCTGGAGCAAAGGAGGCTCAGGGGAGACCTTCTGGCTCTGCACAGCTCCTGACAGGAGCCTGGAGCCAGGGGGGGGTCGGGCTCTGCTCCCAAGGGACAAGGGCCAGGACAAGAGGAAACAGCCTCAAGTTGCCCCAGGGGAGGTTGAGGTTGTCCCTGAGGAACAATTTCTTGCCCTGGAGGGCTGCCCAGGGCTGTGCCAGGCTGCCCAGGGCAGTGGTGGAGTCCCCACCCCTGGAGGGGTTTCCAAGCCGTGGAGATGTGGGGTGAGGGACACGGGGCAGTGGGGACCTGGCAGTGCTGGGGTTAATGGTTGGACTGGATAATTTCAAAGGTCTCTTCCAACCAGAAGGATTCTATGTTGTTACAAGCAGCCTACCAAAAGTTACAAGCAACGTTACAACAACATAACAAAACAAACAAGACAAATGGAAAGAAGTCACCTCTCCACACATCAGTTTAAGGAAAAAAAGATCATTTCTTCTGCATTTTCCCCATCATCACAGTATTTGAACACTCAGAATTGATGGGGTTTTTTTTAATAGATGTATCCTGATAATATTTATTCTAATGATCTTTTCCTGATTATTAGAAGAAATGATGCCATCACTTCTCTATAGCTGATCCCCCTGCTATAGAAGCAAAGGGTGTAATTATAGGTTCTGCTTTTGCCCTGTCTATTTAAGTTTCTTTAAAGCCAAGTATTCTCTGCTATTTTTGAGACTTATTTCACCTACTGAGAGTGAAGTTGAGCTCCTCCTAGGTCCTCGGGAGAGACGTCTTCCCCTGTAGCAGCTTTTACCAGAGGTGGGCCAGCAAGGAAGAGTGTACTGATCTTATCAATCATCACAACTTCTTCTGCCATGGTCGGGACGTAGGCACCTCCAGCTACGCAGGAGCCACACACCACTGCCACCTGATGGACACCAAAACCAGAGCAAGTCAAGATGCTGGAGAAGGGGAGAAAGGAAAGGCAAAAAATCTTCACAGTTATTTCAGAAACGTTCAAGAGACTAAATCGCAGCTTGGGGAACAAGGAACTAGAAATGAAGAAGGGCTGAGAGAGTTGGGGTTGTTCAGCTTGGAGAGGTGAAGGCTTCAGGGAGACTTTCTGGTGGCCTTTCAGGACTTCCAGGGGCCTGGCAGAAACTTCTGAGCAGGGGCTGTTGGGACAGGACAAGGTGGGATGGTTTGAAACTAGAACAGGGAGATTCAGACTAGAGAGAAGGAAGAAACTGTTGATGGTGAGGGTGGTGAGGGCCTGGCCCAGGCTGCCCAGAGAGGTGGAACCATCCCAGGGGAGGTTGGACGGGGCTCTGAGCACCCTGCTCTAGCTGCAGATGTCCCTGCTCCCTGCAGAGGGGTTGGACCAGATGACCTGGAAAGGTCCCTTCCCACCCAAACCAGTCAGTGATTCTATATAAATACCAGCATAAAGAGCAATGCTGGGCTTGAGTGAATTCAACTTTTATTCTGAAATAACCTCCTGACTTTTCCATCACGATCAATCATAAACAGTTAGAAGACCCTTAAGGCTGAAATATTCCCTTGTGTGAGCTCCTATTTGAAACTCTCTTCCCCAAAAATGGAAAAAAGTGAGTGAGCTTCAGGGTTTTGCGTGTTTGAGAGTTGTTCCTAGAACCTGTATCAGAACAGAACTTATTTCAGAGGTGTTCTGATCACATGCTGCACTTACTTGTACTCCCCACGAGACTGTACCTGAGGGATTCTCATGGCAGACATGATGGCTTCGTTGTAGAAAACTCTGCCTCCATGCAGCTTGTCAGGGAAGAGCTCTGACTGGTGGCACAGGGGAAGACAAAGCCAGTTTCAGTACCAGCTACAAAAGCCAACGCTTCCTCCTTACTCCATTCACCCACCAACTCCTTGGGACTAACAGTGGGAAGGCCAACAACAAATGTCTGTACCTGAAACCTCCATCTACAGCATTTGTTGCTGGTTTTATTGCCCCCCACACGTTGGGCACTGCCATAAAATATCCACAAGTTTCCAAAGCAGAGGCAGGTTTTGTAATTTCTTGTGCAACTGATTTGTTCTCTGGGGAGTGACACTGGAAATGTGGAGAAGGGGGAAGGTCACAGTCCTACTTTACCCAGGACATGACTTAGGATCACAGAATGGTTCTGCTTGGAAAAGATCTTTCAAGATCATTGAGTCCAACCATGAACTCAGCACTGCCAGGTCCCCACTGCCCCCTGTCCCTCACCCCACATCTCCACGGCTTGGAAACCCCTCCAGGGGTGGGGACTCCACCACTGCCCTGGGCAGCCTGGCACAGCCCTGGGCAACCCTCCAGGGCAAGAAATTGTTCCTCAGGGGCAACCCCAACCTCCCCTGGGGCAACGTGAGGCTGTTTCCTCTTTTCCTGTCCCTTGTTCCTTGGGAGCAGAGCCTGACCCCCACTTCAGCATGACTTCCCTTTTTACTTAGTTGTTGACAAAATTCTTTAAGTAAGGTGAAAACTTTTTCTGTGTGTTTGCTTTCATTCTGGAGAGGAAACACCTACAGACTCTGTCATAGCAAGACCTCTGTACACTGGAAAGCAACCTGGGGAAATTCTCCTTTTACAGTAAGGATCTCAAAAACTACTTTTTTGAATGGGTAGATTTAGCTGAGAGAAGAAGTTCTTCCCTGTGAGGGTGGTGAGACCCTGGCCCAGGTTGCCCAGGGAAGCTGTGGATGCTCCATCCCTGGAGGTGTTCAAGGCCAGGCTGGATGGGGCTTGGAGCAACCTGCTCTAGTGGGAGGTGTCCCTGCCCATGGCAGGGGGTTGGAACTGGATGATCTTGAAGGTCCCTTCCAACCCAACTCATTCCATGATTCTCTTATTTTTAAAGGTGGTTACTCTATGACTATCACAAACATCACAATAAAATCTGGAGGAATTCAGCCAGCCAAGAGAACACAACATGAACCTGAGGCTTATAATGAATCTGATGAAGACAACCACGGGTATTTTCTTCTGTGAGGTGGTGCCCATGTTACCTGCAGTGGGAGGAAGGCTCCCCCACTGTCCACGAGGTACACCAGTGCCAGTCTGTTCTGCATGGCTATCTCCTGGGCTCTGAGCTGTTTCTTCACCCCAATGGGATAGATGGTTCCTCCTTTCACAGTGGCATCATTGGCCATGAAGACGCACCAGACGCCGCCGATCTTCCCAATTCCTGTCAGAGGAACCACAGAGATTGATCAGGGCTCTAAAACACCACAGAAAGGAGGCTGAGTTACAGCTTGGATGCTCTTGCTGTAATGCTGTTGTATCAAGAAGCTGCAAATTAAATTGTAGATACCACAGAGGGAAGAAATCAAGAGCTCTTCTCTAGAGAAACGAGCTGGAAGCCAAGGACATGAAAAAAAAAACCAAAAAAACACCTAAATGGCAGAAGATAGAATTTGAAATAAAATTTCCTTATTCCTAATGGTAATATAGGAGGAAAAAAAAACACATAGGTTGGCTTCCAACTCTTGAGGTAATAGGGGAGACAAAAATTATTGATATAAAACTGAAAAATATAACAATCTGTGACAAAACACAGGACTCCATGCTCTTCTAGTTGCTTTTTATAGATTTTTTTATAGAATCACTGACTGGTTGGGGTGGGAAAGGACCTTTCAAGGTCATCTAGTCCAACCCCCTGCAGTGGGCAGGGAGAGCATTTAAATGGGAAGCACTCTTCAAAATGCAATGGAAAGACTTGTCTATAATTTGAAAAATATTAGAAAATAAATCTCACCTCTCCTGTGTCTCACAGCAACTTGGTCCCCTTTCCCTTAACAGTTTTTTGACACATCAGCCTCAATTCCTTGAGACAAAACTCAGGAACAGCTAAGTAGAATGAATTACTAAATCTAGAAGAGATTCAGCACAGCAGAGCCAGGGACCTGCTGGGGCGGGGCCAGAGGAGCCCCAGCAATGCCCCGAGGGGGGAACCCCTCTGCTGGGAGCCCAGCAGGAGAGAGTTGGGCTGGGGCAGCCACAGAGGAGAAGGCTCCAGCTGGGGAGACCCCCTGGGGGCTGCCAAGCCTGCCAGCGGCCTGGCAGAAAGCTGGGGGGGGACTTTTGAGCAGGAACTGTTGGGACAGGACAAGGGGGGATGGTTTGAAACTGAAAGAGGGAGATTGAGACTAGAGAGAAGGGAGAGATTTTGGATGCTGAGGGTGTTGAGCCCCTGGCCCAGGCTGCCCAGAGAGGTGGTCACTGCCCCATCCCTGGCACCATCCCAGGTGAGGTTGGATGGAGCTCTGAGCACCCTGCTCTAGCTGCAGATGTCCCTGCTCCCTGCAGGGGGGTTGGACCAGATGACCTTGAAAGGTCCTTTCCCACCCAAACCATTCCACAATTCTGTGATCAGGTTGGTTCAAAACCCTTCTTCATACCCTGCTACATCTCCAACAGGGGCTCCTCAAAGCAACACCCTCACCCCACCTCCACCCTGAGACCTAACAGGATCCAGACGGAAAGACACGAGCAACGAAACCACTGAACTCCACCAGTTTCCCTCCACAACCAGTATCTTAATTTTGCTGGCAGTTACCAGTAAGGCAGCCAGCAGCAGGGACATCACCATAGGGCAGATTGAGGCCTGCCAGAGGAGACAGCTCAAGGTAAGACTCATCATCCAGCAGCAGCTTCAGGCGCTCACGGACAAATAGCTTCTTGTTCCTCTGGGTGTGGCGCAGGACGGCGTTTTCCCCTCCTCCTTTGCTGACCAGCTCTAGCAGTTCTGAGTATCTGATTTAAGAAACAAAGTCTCAGTGAATGAAAACCACCTTTAGGTACAAGTTACCCTCCAGCAGACTGAACAGAGGACTTAAATGGATTGCGTAGTCCTCACAGAAAGGGTTTGAGAAGGGATTTGAATTCGCATAGATGGGTAGGTACAAGTTACCCTCCAGCAGACTGCACAGAGGACTTAAATGGATTGCACAGCTCTCACAGAAAGGGTTTGAGAAGGGATCTGAATTCGCATAGATGGATTATAGTTTCTTACAAAGCCTAAAAAAAAAAGCAAAGGTTTGGTTTTGGAAGCAAGCATTTTCATTTCATTATCCACAAAGACAAAAAAAAGAGTGAGGTGATGTTAAGTATTCTATCTGTGGCCTTTGTTCACAGCTAGCAGGCATTATCCTGCCCTGGGTGCTGCCCATGTACACCCCCCACACAATATTTCTCCACAGATGATCACACCTGATCCCTGTCACAAGGGGCTGATCACAAGCACCCAGCACTGACTTGGAGAGATACTGCCCCAAAATATTCACCCATGGAACTTGCAGCTACTAATGAGGCTGCCATAATTTGCTGGTCCTAAGCCATTTACCTCCACATTCCAGCTGCTCTAGGGAAGAACCTGATCAAGAGCTTCCTCTTCTGTTTCTCCTCAAAAAGTTTGTCTGACAGGCCTAGAGCATATTTTACAGCACAGAGTATATCATTTTAAACCTACTAAATATAAAAATATATACACTAAATAAGCACTGAATACTGCAGTGTCACTACAATCATCCAGAGAAGGAGTGAGCATAAATGTCACTGTCAGGGCAGCACCAAGCACAGCTAATGAGCTGAATAAACTACAAATGTGCTCTCTCAAACCATTTTGGTCTTAAATAAACAAAGTGAAATATTTTTTCACCCAGATGGATCACCTTTAACTCAAGATACTGGTGGACATGACTACGCACCCCTCTGTCTGTGACTCCACCACCTTATTGTGGCTTCCTGCAGACTGCAGAGACTGAAAAACCCGAGGAGAAAAAAAAGCTGCAGGTTTTTCATAACGTTGTGAATGCCACCACAGGAGGGCACAGTGTGTTCTCCACAGCTTCCCTTCCAGCTCAAGCATCATCCCTCTGAACAAAGGCCTTTGAATTTTTGCCATCTGATCTTTAAGGACAAACACATAAAATACATTTTCCTGCTTCTCTCAGTGAACCACAATGAATTCACCACGACTGTCACCTCTTTCAGGAGAAGGTCTGAGCCACCATTTAAGTCCTCGTGTTCAAAATCAAACACAAAACAAGATTTATGAAGGCCTAGAAAAAATACTTCTTGGTGAAATATGCAAAAAAGATGTCACGTGGCACTATTTTAACTTCAGCCTGTATCTAGGTTTAGGCATTTCAGTCAACATTTCGTCACCTGTTCTGGGAGGGCTGAAGTTTTTTAAGTGCTGATCCTTCTAAAATTCTCTGCCTGAGAAAAGAGCAGCCAGGAAACTAAAAATTCAAAATGGTTAGGGATAAACCACAATATTTTTAAATTTCTTAATCTCTGAACTTCTTAATTGCCATTCTTTCCATGTCAAAGAGTTCCTAAAAGTGCCTGTAAGCAACACTCCTATCATCTCACAAGTAACAGCACTTGTAAAACACACAAAACCAGTTGATTACCTTTTAATAACAGCCTCACTGTTCCTTAAATTTTCTTCAAACACACGTTGATGCCCAGATGGGAGGCGTCCATCAAGAACAGGGTAAGTTTTTGCATGCCTTCTGTGTTTCACTTTACTGCTTACTAAACAACAGGGAAGCACGTTGTGTGTCCCCTGACTCTGCAGAATCTGCAGTCCAACACCACACAAATCCTTGTGTTTTCTCTCACACAGACAACTGAAGGTTCGTGACCTTGGCAGCAGCCGAGCTGTGGTTTTGGGGGGCAGCCTGCCCAGGCAGCACAGCGTGGCTGTGTTCCACATGACCCTATGAACTGACGGGAGAAGAAACAGCATTTATTGCCAAAAATTAAAATCAGTGTTCCTGCAGCTGAGGAGGCAAAGCTGGAACCACACCTCAGGCTGGGGTAATAGAGTCATAGCGTT